TAGTACTCGAGACTCGGACTCGTCTCAGACTCGGTCTCGAGACCATATTTTAATGGTCTTGGTGTTGTCATGGACTCGTGTCCATTTGGACTCGGAATTGACTCGTACTCGAACATTTTTTTTTTTAGGACTCGGAATTATTCCCGAGTCCACTCGAGTTCAATTCAAAATATTTTTCATGATTATAAATGTATGTTAATAAAATATTTCTTTAAATTGATTGACACGCCCAGTGATTGGTGATTTTCTAGTGCGCAACTGCACATGAAAAATTGTAATAAAATTACTTTTAACACCACCTACTATGTGGCCTTTTTACCCTAAACTGATCATATTTTTTAAACTCTAAGTAAATTCAGTAAAAAAAAAAAAAAAAAAAGGATTTCTCTAAGTAAATAAAAGTAAATTAGGTAATCAACCCTCACTGGTCTCGGTCTCGGTCTCGACTCGGACTCAACCGTCTCTGGTCTCGGACTCGACTCGGACTCGACTCTCTATGGACTCGGTCTTGACTCGGACTCGACTCTCTCTGGTCTTGGTGTCGACTCGGACTCGAGTGAGGTGGTCTCGACTACAACACTGCTGTATATGAACAGTCCTGTCTTTACAACAAGCATAATAGGTCCTTTTTAAACATTTTAAACAACCCTGGGTGGCTTTAACCTGGGATTAAATAAGAAATAAACCCAGGGTTGAGTTTAGTAGTAAATCTGCTTCTGTTTTTGTCCCTGCTAGGATTAATTTGTACGACTATCAGGCTCTCTGTAAAGAGTTCGCAGGCAGCAGTGACAGTGCACGCACTTTACTGGATGTGAGTACGCTATCATCTGTGCTGTAGTGTGTGACTTCAATGCCTCTGGAATGGATTATATTTCCTGTCTCCATTGACATGCTGTGCTCTTCCTTTCAGCCCTTCACCACTGTGAAATGGCTCTTGACAGAACTTGTCATGTGAGATAAAAGCCTTTTGCTTTATAATTATTATTGTCAGCTTGGGTTCTTCAGTCTGTTTCTGAATGAGAATGTGTCTTATCACAGATTTCTGCTGGAGTTTAACCTGTATAGCTGGTGGAACTGGGACTCGACAGTCAAAGGTATCAGTCCATTTATGACATGTTAATGGGTTTACATGCTCCTGTGAGCATGCCCTTGTTATAATCTATTTCATCCTCGTGATATATAATAGATATTAAATTTGAATCAAATAAAGGACTAAAAAGACTATAAATCTCAATTAGGTCCATGGCATATTAATCACACGTAGCAGAAAATGTAGTTTATATTAAACTGTCATGTTGGCTATCATGACCATAATGCAAACCAAAAACAATATAATATATTGATAATGATATATTGTTTCAGTTGTAAATTATGGGAAGTATTTCATGATAGCTAAATCTAACTCATTTTCATTTTAAAAGATCATTTTGTCCATAGTTACTGTATTTTAGTTTACAGTTTTTTTCTGCAGAAATATTAGGAGATAACTGATAGTGCACTGCAGGACTAACTTAACAGCAAACAATGAACCAGACTATTTAAATGTTGAGCGAGCAATCTCATTGGCTGCAGGATCAGCAGAGGTCAATCAGCTTGTGCCATGTGGTAATGATGTGTTTGTTTGCAGATTGCATGTAAATGATCTCTAGTTTCATGACTGAACTATATATATATATATATATATATACTGTATATACATACACAATTGAGTGTGTTTATAGAGCATGATGATATACAGCGAGATGTGCATTAAAGTAGATGGTTGAGCTGAACTGAGTGTGATGAGTATTTTTTTTCATCTGTGCAGCCCAGAGAGCTCAGAGGACAATGATGGTGCCATGTGACACAGAATACCCAGCGTTTGTCTCTGAGCGCACCATCAAAGAGACCACAGGGAACATTGACTGTAATGGCTGTATTCGGTGAGAACATCTGTGTTTGTTCATGAGTGTGCATGCTTATTTAAAATGCACAGCATAAATGAGTGGGAAGTTGCATTGTTTACAACACTAATGACTTTGAAATGATACTGATGTGAGTTGAAGTTGCAACACTAATGCATTTGAATGTTCTCATGACACATTGTGCTGTCTTTAAAGTGATACGGATTTAAAAAGGCTACTATGCTAGCATTTGCTTTGTGAAAATGCACTTTTATATTTAACTAGCACCACTCTCTTTTTGGGTTAAAGCGTTTTCAGCCAAACCACAGCTGAAGTGCCACAAAACCACACCTGCTTGCACTTTATAATATTGTAACTTAAAATGATAATATATGCATTTATATTATATATAAATTTCACAACACAGCATGATCTGAAAACTGAGCTGCGCTTCACCTTCTCACATCTTTATCTTTTAGTGCTATGTTGCTAATTGTCATGCAGACAGTAATGATTGTTATCAGAGATAAACTGAAATCCACTGTATTATGAAATTATCACATGCTTATTTATAAAGAATATCACAAAATATGTATTTTATTAAGATATTATTTAGATTAAAAATATAAAGATTCAATAAATATTGTATATTTAGAGTTATACTGTATATTTACAGATATTTAATTGAACAATTTTATTAAAGTCAGCATGAAACAGAAGTTGCAATAATCTTTTCTTCCCTTTTGTGATGTATATCAAAGGGAAAATGCTTCCCAACAGCGAAAAAAATGTTGGATGGGACTTATATAGTCATGTTTTAGTTTTTTTATTTTTATTTTGATGTGCAGAAATATATTGTACATTTACATGTGGTTTCCAAACTTTAAAGAATAAAAATAGGACAGACCTGATTTGTCATCAGGTAAATAAGAAATAGTTTTAGAGTTACTGTGTGCTCACTTCTTATTTTCTGTGTTTTCCCCACTCAGGACGTTTGTGATTCAGCAGATTCCCAGCAGTAACCTGTTCATGGTGGTTGTTGAGAATAAATGTGACTGTGGTTCCGCCCCTCCAGTTACCATGCAGCCCATTGAGATCATTTATATCCTTTCATAAACTAAAAAAATCTGCTTGTTTAGAATGGAGGATTAACATGAGTATTTGTATAAATATCAGCCTTGACCTCTGAGCACATAATGAGTCTCTGAAGTGCGACAGACTGAAGTTTCAAAAGGATCGCAGACGGCCAAAGTCATGTCATCCATTTCATCCAGAGGTACAGAGAGAGTGTTTTTGGTTGTGTGTATTAAATATAATAACCATATCATAGATGTACTTCATCATCACCATCATTTTATTTCAAATATATCATAAATAAAAGTAGACCTAGTTGGGCTGCCCCTTAATACAGTAGTAGACCAAACGTTCCAAAAAGTAAACCAAAAACAAATCTCCACAGGAAGTGGTGAAGACAGATCGTTAACATGGCTGGTCCATGTGCTAATTATAACATGGCGTATCATTTGAAAGATATAAGTTGAAGCCTAACGTTAGATAAATGTAGGTCTACATTTATATTATTCATAAAACAGTAGGCGAAAAAAAACATGGATGACCAACTACTTCTTGTGAGATTCTGAAGTGCGCCTCCAATCGACACTCTACCATCCCATGAGGCCACAGGAGAGCATTTGTGAATGGTAGTCAAGTGACACACCTGACGCTGAAGATCACATGACACGATAACATGGCAGATGTATGATTTCTCTTTTTGCGCATTGTCGAGTCAGTGTCGTCAACTTCATATTTGCAGTCAACACTGACTCAGAAAACACTAGGTATTATTATAATACCAAGACACATTCCTATCAACTGTATTGTTGAAATGTCTAAATAAATCTTTGACTTGACTTGATAATAGCGCAACTAGTCGACTAAATGATCAACTACCATTCAATGATGTGAGTGTGGAGTCTGAGGAGGAAGGATGGGGGAAACAACTCTTCCTAATATTTTAAATTTGAACTGCAGGTCCCATTTCAACCGCTAGCTGTCACATAGTGCACATTGCACAAGACTCTACCAAATGAGTTTTTCTCTTTGCACTTTCTAACCCTAACTATATATTTTCTCTACAGGAGAACGCCATGGAATGTGGATCAGCAAATTCTTTGAGTTTTCCAGTGGTGGCTATTTTATTCCCAGTTTTGTCATTCCTGGTCAGCAGGTGACCTCTGACCCCTGCCTTGACCCATTAGGCTTACTATACACTCCAATCAGAGCCTTGCTTCCGCCGAACATGAAGTCTCAGTCCACAGAGACAAAATCATCTTTGTGATGTCTGGATTACTGAAGATAGATGATATTTATTGCCGTCAAAGACAGTGTTAGAATGTGCTGAGTGTTTTATTCTTACATATGGAGCGGTGTGAACATACCTGGATATGAGTGGCCGTCACAGCTAACCGCAGTCCATGTAGCTGTTCTTCAAGGTTCTTTCATACACCTCAACTGTAGGCTTAATCTGATGTTAAGCACAGACAAAACTGAGCAGAAATGTTGTTTATATAATTATTATTTGCCTGCTTCTCAGATTTATTCGGCATTTAATTTGAAGCCTTTAAGATGCATGACGTAACAAAATAGGAATATTTCACAGTGCTGTTTGTAAGAATAGCAGACATTGTCATCCAAAGATGAGATGTGGATTCTTCACAAACTTTATAAGTTTTGCCTGCCTAAAAAAGTACTTGGGAAATAACTTTTAATTGCCTAATCCCTTTACATCAAAGGAAAGCCATGTTATGTAAATAAAAACATATTTTCCATCAGTTTTCTATCATTTATTTCAATTCTCTGAATGCACTATTTGACGATGTCATTGGTCACGGCTTCACATGCATTAATTTTACGCCTTAAACCAGCAGTGGGTGTGATATGTTCCCTTATTTCTATAATAGTTCCACAGATTTTGCCTTGGCTTTGCTGATCAATATATTTATTGAATAGCTATACAGTAGGCAACATATTGTATCACTATTTCTGTATATATATATATATATATATATATATATATATATTAAATTTTATATATATATAAATCTCTTTAGAGGTGCAACAAGTGAAGAAAAGCATAATAGAGATGTTTCCACCTGGGAGGATGTGTAGAATTTGTACCTGTTTTCAGAGTTTTACCAGTAGAGGTCGCCACTGAACCAGCAAAAACAATACAGCATAACATGACATATCATAAACGCTCTACTTTATTAATGTTCCACAAATACTACTTATAACCACAATTATATTACAATGAATCAGAATCAGAGCGGCCTGTCCATAAGCCAATACAATATGTTTAAATGGTGCACAAGGTCATGCACACAAATACACTAAAACAATGCAATAAATATTTACTAAATAACAACACAACACAATGCAACACAAAAACATCTTAAATGTACATTATTCATAGCAAAATTAACAAGAAAATCTATATAAAATAAAACACAGGCCTAATCGTAAGAGATGTCACTCAGGGACTTGTCCTTTTACTGTTTTTCACCATAAATACATAAAATTCATGATAATCTATGATAATTCATTGTTTTTATATCCAAAGGGTCAAGGGTCTTTTACAGTTAAAGGGTCAAGATGGCATGATAAGATTACATTAAATTAGATTTTTGTTTCATAGCCTAAACGTATTCAGTATTAAAAAAAAAAACATTAATTCAATCTAATTATGATATTGTGTGATCGGTTTACATAATCGGACCAGGCCCCGCCCACTGGCGCTAACTCTCTCAGCTGACACCTGTCGTCACGAGACACTAACGACGCTCTCGTCGTGTCAAAAGCAAATGGAAGCCATTTTACAACAGCTCAGCTGTCTACAGTAAATAGAGACAATATACAGATAGTTTACCCTTTACATTTAGGATGTAGCCTACTTCATGCGCTACTGACAAGGACGAGTAAAAGAACATTGCTTGGAAACTTTAAACAGCATTTTCGTTTCTGTACAGACTTCAGAAGGACACCTTTCACAGGAACAAGTGGATGGTTTATTTTTGCCGCCCTGGATCAGGTCGAAGAATTATGTTTGTTAGGAGCATTTTACTGCGTTTTTTAAAAACGAAGGCACCGACTGGAGAGTCAGCACTAAAACTTTTGCTGAAATATGAACTAGTATCAACTGTATTGGATGCGACGACTGTAAAAAAAGATTGATGACACCGGATTGGACCTGACAGCAAACTGTAAGTAAACAATTTCTTCTGTATATTGATACATTTTTTCAATGAAAGGATGTTAGCGGTGACAGTTTACTGACAAGCCTTAAAAGAGCCACCAATTAAAAATGGATCAGACAGGGATTGTTAAAAAATTGTAATACTATTTTTAATATTCTGCAATTAAAGATAACACTTTATAATGGATATAATACTTAAATGGTACAACAGAGGCTCATCAGAGATTCACCAAACTGTAAACTTGATCTCCTCCTGCCTTTGAGTGAACTGGTTTGTCAGGAATCACGGAGTACAGGTGGTAAACATTCTTAAGGAATAAAACAGAAAAAATAGATGATGTCTTAAATGTCTTGGCATTCAGTTCATGAGGGACGTTTCATTCGATTATGTGGGTTTGGTGTGTGACGTGTTCACACATACCTCATTTTCTGTTGCATTTTCCTCTTTCTGTTGTTTATTGACTAAAACACCTGTAACGCAATCAATGTAGAAGAATCAAATCACTTGGTGACCTTCAAAAATAAGCTCTTTGTCATAAAACTTGAATATATTTTAAGCTTTGACACTTAAATTGCACATGCAGCAGAATGATCGCTTCTCAGGCTTGTTCTGTGCAACAGTGTTGTGATGAATTTAATATTTGTCCCACTTCTGTATGAGCTCATTGTGATTGAGTGGGTGTAACGGAGGCCAGCTAGTAGTTGCTGTGCGAGTAAACCTAACTCCCCTGATCTCAATAGGCGCTCTAGAGACAGATGCTAGAGGCTGCAGTCTTTAGCTTCCTTGTTAGAGTGCCTGACTATCATGCCGGAGACCCGGGTTCGAGTGGGACCCAGGTGTAGGGGTTACATGGGCCAAGTTTCTCAATGCTAATGTGAGCATCAAAAATGCAGAATACTGAATACAAAAGTCCTACTGGCAGCATAATACAGCGTTTTTAGTTGTTTTCTCGGATCTGTGTGACTGTGAACCGGAATCTTTTTGACATTGTTGTCATCTCTACTCGAAAAACACAAAGAAAAAACTTTTTTGTTTTTAGCACATTGTTGTATTGTAAGCTAATTGTATGCACCCTCTGCAAGGGAATATGTTCTTTAAATTAAGACTGAAACTTAATTAAGACTGAAACTAAATTAAGTTATAGAAGCTCGAAAGCCCTTTAATGCTGATTTTACTGTATAGGCAGTGTGCAAAAATAGCTAATTTTGTGTTCAAAACAGCAGGAAAAGTGTGTAAATTATTTTAGTTTTGTCATGAAACTCTTCTTTTAAACTGCAGTCCTCACCTTTTTTGTGTTCAAAATGTACAAAATTTATATAAGTGATCATGAATCAATTTTCTAAACCGTGATTTTGTCTTATCCTGAATCGCTACGGTACACCTATAGTGAGTGTTTGTTACTATTTTAGACTGGTATGGGTCTTACCGCTGCGGAGTAGGCCAGACCTGCGTGACTCATCATAGACATTAAACTGAGAGAAGTATCTCCAGCTAATGTTCCTCCACAAGACGCATGCGGTTCTGTTAACCACTAGAACTGCAGCTTTGAGAAAAGACGTGGCTAATAATGCTGAAGACTTGAAAGAGGAAATGGTACTAGTTTCTGAGAAGTGTGGTCGCTGTATCGTGTTTTTATTTAACTGATATCATTTACTGAGAACTTCTCTCACCTACAGAGATGGGCTGAGATGTAGCTGGTACAGACGTGATCAGAGAATATGTCTCTGCAGGTCCAGAACAACTCTAAAAAAACAATGAATAATTAATGAATAATATAGCTGTCCCTTTCAGCCATTCTTGCTCATTATGGTATTATAAATAGTTATTACCTTGTGATTTTAAAGGTAGTAACTTCACAGATACTCACCAAACCAATTCCTTGATTGGGTACATCTGATGTTATTGAGCTCGTTTTATTGCTAAGAATCAAATATTGATCTTTACGGCATCTTTTCATACATTAATCAGATAAGGTGCTAAACATTTGCACTCATACTGTAGTTCCTACAGTTTACAAAAATTTACAACAGGACATTGTATCACAGACTACTGAGAATGATTTCATGCAATGCAGAAGTACAGTAGTCTATATTAAACAATCATGTCAATTTATATATAAAAAGAATGTTTAACCTTCATAACCACCTACAAGCTCTTTGTCATACTTCAGTCTACTGAGTTGATTGCATGAAACAACTTACCGATGTCTTCTTTTGTTACCTACAAGACAATGAATGAGCATAGCATGTTCTGTTTTAGCTTGCATGATAAATTCTATAGTGAATAACATATAACCCAGTACATACAGAACAAACAAAGAACACATTTGAAATATTTACTTACATGCAAACCAGCATGAGTAGATGAGTGCAGAACAAATGACACCAACACCAGTGGAAACCAGAACTATAATCCATAAGCCTGTGTCAAAACAAAACCAACCCAACACTTTGATACATTATGGTAACATTTAATTTAGTTGTTTTATATATGTCAGTCTTCCTGACGAAAGATTGAGAAAATGTATATAGATTTAACTTTTGTTGTGTGCATGTAAATGATTTACAGAGATTAGAAAGAGAACATCTAATTCATGCAACAGTTAAATCAAATAAATAAAAACGGAAGCACAACAGGAAAAGGAAAAAAAACTTTGTTTTGTAGATGCTGTGGTGTGATTGGACAGTCAGTTTGATCTGTTGAAGTGTAAACATTAGGAGGATCTGCATCAGAAAAGACCTCAAATGAATTCAGATTTGACCAAAGCATGATGATTATACACAGCAGTGTTAAGGCCAATTCACACCGCACAGAAAGACCAACAATCACCAGATTAAAGACTTCACTTCTCAGACATTTCATTATACGACAAACACTCAACATGTTAAATCGGCAAAAACAAGAGCTGACCAATGGCAGACGCAACAGGCGCCAACAGGAGTAACACGCTGAGCCAACAAAACCCAACAAAGTGCCTGTTGCCATTTTGTTGGCGTTTGTCAGTGCAGTGTAAATGGGCCTTTACAGTGTTTAATGAAGTCACAAAAAACTTTTTTTTTTGTAGTTCTACTGATATTTAGTAAGTTACCAGTTCTGGTGGATGTTGGGGTTTCAGTAGTAGATATAGCAGCTATTATTGCTGAAAATACATTGCAAAATAATTAGTATAATAAACACACTATGAAAAAATTGCAATTTTTGGTACGTATTTTTATTTAACACTAAACTTTACTTGCCTGTTTTTGTGTCCATCGGTGAAGCTCTTTGAGTGGACGTTGTTGTGAAAACTGCAGTAAGAAAATTATAGGGTGAATTTAAAATTAATTAAAAAAATTAAGTTATAGATGTAAATATGATAAACAAACAATTGGAATGTGAAAGACCAATCCAAAATGAACTCAAATGTTTTTGAATGAAATTATGATGCTATGATGAGGCAGAGTAGAGGTTACCATGGAAACTAAAAAAAAACAAAACAATGCGTGCCACAAAATAAATGTATTCGCCTATTGAATTATATATTTTTTAATTCAACAGGCCTTGTGATTTTACCAATTGGAAGAGTGGATGAACTTACGTGTGGTTTTCTTTGTTTCACTCTTTGGCAGTTTTGACTTGGAAACTAAGTCTACAAATATAAAAATAAATTACCAATAGCAGGGAGAATCACCTTTGAATCACATTTTCAATTTTAATTCAGAATAACCAGAAAAGGTGTTATCAGTAACTCACAAGCTGTACTGTACATTTTAGAAGTGGACATTAAAGGAAAAGCTGTTAAAAAAAAAAAAACATTGTTAAATTCGCAGTGATATATAATAAAATGTTCAACCGCAACAGAAAATAATGAGCCAAAGAACAATTGCTACATCATTCAAAGTGGAATAAGAAAGATGTCTTTTTGATTTTACAAACTCAGTTACTCACAGGTTTTCATGGTTGTTGTAACATGTGCAGCTGGCGTTGAAACTGTAAAGACAGTTTACCAGTATTGCAGGGAGCAATTGCAGTATTTAATTTTAAAGCAAATGTCAATGCAATACAGTCTGTTGTCAAAGGTACAGAGCCTACAAATACAACTTTTTTTTCCACATTATTCCATATGATGTAATTTCGGCCTTACTGTATATCCAATAAGGATAATACAGAACCAAAGAACCAGCACTGTAACATTTAAGTGGAAGACCAATCCAAAATGAACTCAAATGTTTTTGAATGAAATTATGATGCTACAGAAGAGAGTGTTCAGCTCATAAACAATACAGTCTCATCTTGAGTCATGTGACTTCCCATTAGCTTACTAATTAGGCTTCTAGGTAACATTTTTCTGTTAACAGGCAATGCAAGCCACAAAATATGCATTAGCCTATTGAACTATGTAACTTACGTGTGGTTTTCTTTGTTTCACTGTTTGGCAGTTTTGACTTGGAAACTAAGTACAAATATAAAAAATAAATTAAAGGAGAATCACCTTTGAATCACCTTCAATTTTAATTCAGAATGACCAGAAAAGGTGTTATCAGTAACTTACCAGTTGTGCTGTACGTTTCATAAGTGGACATTAACGGTAAAGCTGTTTAAAAAAAACATTGTTAAATTCGCAGTGATATAAAATAAAACGTTCAACCGCAACAGAAAATAATGAGCCAGAAAGAACAATTGCCACATCATTCAAAGTGGAATAAGAAAGATGTCTTTTTGATTTTACAAACTCAGTTACTCACAGGTTTTCATGGTTGTTGTAACATGTGCAGCTGGCGTTGAAACTGTAAAGACAGTTTACCAGTATTGCAGGGAGCAATTGCAGTATTTAATTTTAAAGCAAATGTCAATGCAATACAGTCTGTTGTCAAAGGTACAGAGCCTACAAATACAACTTTTTTTCCACATTATTCCATATGATGTAATTTCGGCCTTACTGTATATCCAATAAGGATAATACAGAACCAAAGAACCAGCACTGTAACATTTAAGTGGAAGACCAATCCAACATGAACTCAAATGTTTTTGAATGAAATTATGATGCTACAGAAGAGAGTGTTCAGCTCATAAACAATACAGTCTCATCTTGAGTCATGTGACTTCCCATTAGCTTACTAATTTGGCATCTAAGTACTAGGTAACTTATGACACTCTTCTGTTAACAGGCAGAGTCAATGCGAGCCACAAAATGTAGATGCATTAGCCTATTGAACTAATGTTTGGCGAATGCAATTCATAGTAAAACATTAAGAAAAGCAGTGTGATCATAGTTAAGTTGAGACCTTTTATCCTGCTCAGTGTTTGGAAACTTTACATGTGTTGAGTTGAGCCTTGGTTGAGTAAATAAATCCCACATATTTATATATTTTTTAATTCAACATAAGGCTTAGTGGTTTTACCAGTGAGGAAGAGTGGATGAACTTACGTGTGGTTTTCTTTGTTTCGCTCTTTGGCAGTTTTGACTTGGAAACTAAGTCTACAAATATAAAAATAAATTACCAATTGCAGGGAGAATCACCTTTTAATCACGTTTTCAATTTTAATTCAGAATAACCAGAAAAGGTGTTATCAGTAACTTACCAGCTGTACTGTACTTTTTAGAAGTGGACATTAAAGGTGAAGCTGTAAAAAAAAAAAATTGTTAATTCGCAGTGATATAATATAAAATGTTCAGCCACTACAGAAAAAATGAGCCAGAAAGAACAATTGCCACAACATTCAAAGTGGAATAAGAAAGATGTCTTTTTGATTTTACAAACTCAGTTACTCACAGGTTTTCATGGTTGTTGTAACATGTGCAGCTGGCGTTGTAACTGCAAAGACAGTTTACAATATTACTGGGAGCAATTGCAGTATTTAACTGTAAAGCAAATGTCAGTACAGTCTGTTGTTAAAGGTACAGACAGAGCCTATAAATACAATGTTTTTCCCACATCATTACGTATGATGTAATTCTGGCCTTATATCCAATAAGGATAATACAGAACCAAAGAACCAGCACTGCAACATTTAAGAATGAGACAAAGAGTTTGTACAGTTGTATATAAATTCGTGTCAATTTTGTTTTCAATAATCCTGATGTACAGAGAAACTGTCACGGTGTGGCTCTGGCTGAAGGACGAGGAGACCGGAGTATCGGTAGAGAACAGGTTTTTAATAAATATAAACAGGCAGGAAGACAGGAATAAGGCAACCACACGGGTTCACAATAAACACAATAGACATCGACCGACAAGACTGAATGAAACTGAACAGAACTAAATACACAGAGGAATCAGGCTAAGTGGGGTGAACACAGGTGAAAATGATAATGACAGGACGAGGAACAGGTGGCTGATTGGGGAGTGAGTCCGGGAGAGGAACAAAAGGATCCGGGGAAGTGTAGTGCAGATGACGGGACAAACAGGTGAAGATGACAGACTGTGACAGAAACATTACATATATCATAGATTCATAAAGTAAATCTCAGTGGATAGATGCATGTAAAGGACTTTGTGTTTGTTTTTTGACAGAAATAACTTTTTAAATAGATATTCAATACATAAATATCTCAAGACTTACTCTGGATTGATATTGTCACTGGATCGGAGTGAGGAGATGGCACGAGAACTTGTGACTTGTTCACAGTGTAGAAGCAGGCTATTCTCACAGATGAACTCTGACCTTCTGACCAAATACTGATCTGAGATCCAGTGAGTGAGAGCTGACATGATGAACTCGCTTTTGAGTTACTTTCTCTTCCATTGATGTTAAAGACACAGCTCTCCATCTTCATATCTTCAGTATTCTCACAGCTCAGCTGAACTGTGTCTGTTTCCTCAATAACTGAAGCAGACGCTGTTAACTTGGCCTGAGGAAGACCTAATGAAAAAGAAAGGAAAATGTACATGTATTCATCTTTAGATTAGAAGAAGATGCAAAAACTGAAAAAAAACACCTGTCCTTAACTTTTATCATGTTAGTCTTTTTGTCATTTTAAACTATTTTTAACGTTTTAAAACTGTTCAAAAGCAGTTCTCTAATGACATCATCCTTCAGGAAGTTACATCATTTTGGAGGGAAAACTATAGCACAAACAATAGGATTAGCATTTGACTTATTTTCTGTGATGGTTTGTGGTAGTAGCTGGTTCGACAAAATACAAAAATGGGTAATATTTTATTTTGATGGTTCCTTTTGCATGAGAATATCAATAATCATAATTAATCCAGTCACAATGTCAAAATGTCATATGATGATCTTAACCAAAGCATATTTCTGAAAGATACTTCAACACAAGTGTATTAATTTGTGTATTATTATAAGAAGTGCTGCAGAACAGGAACGGCCTGTAAAGAAACGTTTAAAATATTAAATAAATTACTTGCTGTTTCTCCTCTCCCCATCATGATATTAGATGTGCAGAAACAAGCTTCTTTCAGGCGACTCTTCCTTCCTGCCTAAATATATCAGATAGTTCACTTGCTGAGGTCAAACTGGTTAAGCGTTAGTCTGAGACGAATCTACAAGTTATTCAGTGTAAAAAGGTTTCACAGATCACTATCTGTGACTCACTGTCTCACAGTATCTCCCACGACTGCTAGAATCAGCTTCAGTGTGTTGTTTCTGCCTTCATCGACATGATCAATACATTCAGTGTATTTGACCTTTCAGTGTTGTATTATACAGCCTTGAAAGGGTCGTTATAATAGTACCCATCAAGAAGTGCCCTTAGATGTAATACAAAGTATCATTCAATTTTTCTCGTTTTTATTTGTTGTAAATACTGACTTTTTCTTTTATTGATCAAACTTTCATGTTCTAATGAACTTCATAAATCCTATTGGCTTAGGAATTATACAGGTGTCTCTGATTAAAAGTGCTCATTACAGTAAAAAGTCCTCACCTCTGATGGTGCGTGTGTCACTGCGCGGTGATCTGATCTCAGGTTCAGTGTTGATGATGTAATAATCACAGCTCAGATTTCTGCTGTTCTCTGATCGTGTGAAGAGTTCACTGTGAGTTAAATAAAACATACAATGATGATATTCTCCAGACGAACTTTTCTTAGAGACTCGTGTGTGCAGAAGAACATCCCCAGTGTAGAGACTACAGGTGAAAGCAGCTCTGACTGACAGTGGTATATCACAGGCTATGTTGATCTGGACATCATTTTCACTAACACTGATGAAGGGTTTCCGAAGTGAACCTGTTTAAGTCAAATAATCCATAATTAATGGGAAAAAAACAGTGCACAAAAAAGCAACAGCAGTGAAATCTCTCACCTAGAACCGTCACTGTGGCCGCAGGAGAATGAGATGATGGTTTATCAATCTTGTTCTCAGTTATTATGTAGAAGCAGTAAATGTCGACTGATGCTGGTGATTTTACATCTGCCCATCTGAGCACTTCAACACCAGTGAGCTCCAGTTCACATGATGGACTGACTTTAATATTCTTCTGTTCACTGTTTCTGTAGAAATGACACTGTTTCACTGTAACATCTGCTGGCGTCTCACAGGTCATCTTCACTGATCTGGACTCTCTTAGCACATCTGGAGATACTTTTACAGCAGGAGATTCTGAAATAACAAAAACAGATTAATCTCGATACATTACATCTTCTGACTGACCACTTTTCCATGCATTCTTTTCTAATTATGGTCCATGTTTGGGTGAAACTTTGAAACATTTAAATTCATAAATGTCCTTTCAGCAGCACCCAACTACACAATTAATGGAAAATGGCAGCCCATGAAGGTATTTCCTTACTAATTTAAAGTCATACAGTCAATAATTGTATCCCTTAAAACTCATTTTTGATAATCAAAATGAAAATTTCTTCAACCGTTAACTCAAGCCTCCACTCAATCACACCAGCTCAGACTACCTCAACTCTGTCAACCTAAACGCGGCACAATAGCAAGTGTAAATATTGGTTTAATAGGCTATATATTGGTTTTAGCCATATTTGTTTGAAACAGACACTTCAGAAGAAGAATTTACAGGGTTGTCTACAAGACAATGAATCAGAATGGTAATGCATTTTATTTATTGCTCACAATGTTGGAAATATGGCAAGCTATTTAAATCCCTATAGTAAAAAAAAAAACGTGTTCCAAAATGTAAAATAGATTTATTCATACAAAGTATACTACAAATTCATTAACATATTTACTGACATATCGCTTGAGACTTGCTGATAAAAATATTTTGAATAATCTTTATTTGGAGTGTTTTTTTTACAATGCACATTTCTTAATAATAAGCCTAAAATGTGTTGTAATATCATTATTAGTAAGGCATTTAAAGTGTACCTAAAGTACATTCGCAATAGTTCCATTTTAGCACAATCCAATATATCTTTAGATGAACCTCAGTTCTATTTCAGGATAACTGAAGTGCATTAAGTACAGAATTAGTTGTACCAATTTAGCAGACTTTAACTATACCAACTTAGTATACCAAAAGTTGAATTGCATGGTGCAGCAGCGTACTATATTAAGAAGAACATAAATATGTAAATGTATTTGTACTTGGCATAAAGTAAGTGTATTTCAAATACTTTTTTATATACAGTATATATATATATATTTTTTTTTTCACTATATGATTAGCCTTTGGATAATCATAAATGCTATTTAACAGCTAATAATGTGATGCTAAATTTCTGCTCACTGCATTAAAAAGCCTACAGAGCGTGATAGAAATGATAAAGCCCCGCACTGCACATTGACAGGATTCATTACATTTGTTACGGTAGGACACTGGTGGTTTCTAACCGCGTATTTGAGACTGTCTTTGAAACTCCAGCTTTAAGCAGGAAATACATATAGCAATGGTGTTGACTGATGAAAAATATGTTGACTGATAAAAATATATTGCAATGGTGTTGACTGATGAATTTGCTCATGGTTTGGCTTTGGGTATATTAAAAACACCATATAGACAACATTAAAAACTTTATTTTCCTTAAAGGGTTTTTATAAGTCCATTTTAATTTCCTTTTAATGTTTGGCACAAAAAAAAGACGAAAAGAAAGTATTTTTCTCATGCACTTCAAAAATGATTCTTCGTTTGATTCTGTTAGCTTTTATCAGCATATATACAGTAGCTCCCAGAGTAACTTTTTTATATGTGCAGATGTAAATTAATTCTCTTGTACACCAAATGAGGTGTTTACGTGACTCTATAATTAATAGATTAATTAGGTTATTGCAATCATTTTCATGAATTTTAGCTAAAGTAAATCCGCTTCATAGGTTCATGTGTCTGCGGTGTTCTACTAAAACACCAATGGATCACACATGCTTAACTTCTGTACTTTAGACAAATGTTTTTTTTTTCACTACAAATGTGGACATTCAGTGTTGAATTAACATTAAACGACAAAGAACACTTACTGTAAGACTGAACCTCTATTAGAAGCTGAAAAGCAATGAAGATGAACAACTCCATAACAGCGAGAGTGAGAAAAGAGACGAGTCTCACACAATAGTTGAATTAGGAAGTAACATATTAGACCACAGGAAACCATAATGCAGCCAGCTATGAAGATGAACGTACATCATGAGACCACGTGTTCATTTTCACTGTAACAAAGGGCAGTTGTACCAGCATAATTTACGTGTGGGACATGATGTCCCCACCACATTTTGAAACACCTCGCTACATGGATGTACCTAATACCATTTCCAGTTGATTAGCAAACCTGTATGAATTTCTTTCTTCTGCTGAACACAAAAGATAATATTTTGGGGGATATATTAATTGAATAGCTGTACAATAGCCAACATATTCTATCATTATTTCTGTACATATATATTTCTCTTTAGAGGTGCAACTAGTGAAGAAATGAAATGGTCCATGCATGTTTTAGGAGCATGAGAGAGATGTTTCACCTGGCAGGAGCTGTAGATTCTGTGTTTCGCCATTAGATGTCGCCACTGAATCAGGAAAGAGAATTCAACATTTAGTTTGGAAATATCACTTTAATTAGCAGGCTACTGTTGGTATTAATATTGCAGCGTATAAATATCAGAAACGCTCCACATGACCGTTGGAGGTGCTATCATACACCACTCAATGTTTCTGTGACTGTCTAAAGCACGTCAATGTGACAAGTGCAATTTACTGCAAATGACATCTAGTTCTAGCTCCCTCTCTCTGAAATATTTTTGACGATTAAACTTTATCATTACATTTTTGAACATACTGTATTTTATCAACATTAAACAGCAGAGAACAGTTACTATAAGTCTGAACCTCCATAAGAAGCTGAAAAGCAATGAAGATGAACAACTCCATTACAGCGAGAGTGAGAAAAGAGGCAAAATGTGTCTCACACCATGGGTGAATTAGGAAGTAACACAGTAGGCACAACCTAACACGGGCTAGTTGTAACACACTTGTTTTAAATACTTCCACACTTGCTAGCATGACTAAACTTAGTGTAGTTGCCATATCAACACTATATAGAGAAAAATTTCGCCAAAATTTTGAAATCTTTGGAAGATATTACTGAACAGATAGCAAAAGTGAATTTCCTGTTAATTTTTCATCTCTATTTTTTGTGTTTATTTTCAAATATTATTTTAATCTACAATATGTTATTTAATAGTTGATATGGTACTTTAGTGCTTCGCTAACTAGCAGAACACATGGTTTAAATCCCAGTTGTGCAGCTTGGGCATGTTATAACTCTGCATTACAATGTGCCCCTATTAGAACTATGATATTCTATTTTATACTTTTATGAAGTCTATTTAGAAAACATGAGAACAAAGTGAATAAAGACTGAGGGCCTTATTTTAACGATCTAAATGCAATGTCAGGGCGTGTCTGAATCCACTTTGCTATAGTTTAAAACAGGAAAAATAGTCTGCATGCCCGGCGCATGGTTTAAAAGGGTTGTCTCTCTTCCCTCAATGAGTTATGGGTGTGTTTTGGTAATGTGAAATAAACCAACCAGAAACCTATTTGTCAGCAAGTAAAGATACTTTATTTATAATGAATGTACATAATGAAACACGACTTGAGACTCATCAGTGCATCTTCACCAAACTGTAGACTTGATCTCCGGCGTTTGAGGGAACTGGTTTGTCAGGGATTGTGCAGTACAGGTGGTAAACATTCTTAAGGACGACAACAGACAGATTGACAAGAGAGACAAAATAAATGTTTGTAATGTGTTCATGATGGACTTCTCATTTGTTTATGTGGGTTTGTTGTGTGACTGTTCACATATTACCTCATTTTCCTCTGTATTGCCCTCTATCTGTTGAGTATTAACCGAAACTTCTGTAAAGCAGAAGCGTCGTTTCACTTTAGACAACATGTTTTGACCACCACGAACAAGCTCTTTGTCATAAAACTTGAATGTATTTTTGCACAGCAGATACATCTCTTCTCTCGCAATGATTATGAGCATCAAAAATGCTGTTTTTGGACTAGTGAGGAAGTTTTGAGTTGTGAAACCAGTGTTTTTAGTAAAGAATGAGAACAATTTGATTCATTTTTGAATGACCGCTTTTCGAATGACAAGATCAAAATGACCACTTTACTGAAAGAAACATTTTATTACCTGAGGGCTGGTAAATTGAATTCTCAGATTATATTGAAAGATAAGATCTCACCATACCAATTCCTTAACTGGGCTCATCTGGATTTATTAATCTTAATTTATAGCTAAGAATCAAATTATTGATATGGCATCCATCTTTTAATACATAACTAAAATGTTGTAATAAAGAGAAAGTCACATGAATTAAAGTTCGTCACAAGTAGCTTTTCCATAAGCTGATGTACTAATTTATAGAAGGTGAATGCAGTGTTATGAACACATGACACTAAACAAATGCAATAATTATTAAACAACATAAGATTTAACATAAAACCCTGATGTACTTAACTAATAACAAAAAAACATCAAATGTGAGCACAGAGATCTATGGCTATTCACTGTAAATTATAAGATGATTTTCTCCCAATATAAATGTGGGAAAAAACCTCCAAGATGCCTTGGCCTGCTGTGCTAATACATGATTTCAGTGGCTATTCTGAACTATCATTCTTTTTGTTGTCTGTAAATTTGCAAGAAGTGAAGAAATGAAACGGTTCATCCATGTTTTGAGGAGCATAACAGAGATGTTGTTTCCACATGGCAGGAGCTGTAGATCACCTCAGTGAGAACGTCATCAGAACCTGCACAGACACACACTTAATTATTATTATTAACACACTAGTTATTATGTTTCTATATCATGGAGCTCAGCTTATGCATATGTGAACTTACTGTCAAAGGGGCAGAGACAGATGAATCCCATGAGTCCAGACAGAAATACAATACCAGTGAAAACCAGCACTACTAAAAGCCATGAGACTGTAAAACGACAAAAATAAGACTTTAATCCATGTTTATATTTATATATCAGATTTATTGTGTGCAAATTTTTTATTAAACTCATTTTAAATTAACGTCACCTTATATGATCATGAGAGGAGGAAATGTCAATGTTTGTTTTGGTTATTATAGATATTTAGATGATCAGTTTTTTATTGTGTTGTACCTTCAGAGTGAATGTGATCTTGGATCAAATCATATTACAATAAAAAACTGAATCAACAAAGCAAAAATATATTACATGTTTTTGACTCTCTGGTTTCAGGCAGAGCAGAAGCTGGTATGAACACAGCTGATAGAATCAACAGTGTATCAGAGTGCGATGAGGTATTAATATATTAGCCTATAATCAGTTGTCAGAGACTGGTCAATAATACAGTTTAACTGTAATTTTACTGTATAACAATGACTGCTAAATCCTGCGACTGACTAATAGTAGGAAAGCTGTGCAATAAACTAAAAATATTTTTTAGGCAATTTAAAGTGAAATGAGCAAAATACCTCTGTGTGATTGTCAAGTGTTTTATTTTCAAATAAAATTTTGGCTCTCAAAGTTTCACCAGTAGAGGTCACTGTTGCAGATGCAAAGAGAATTTTTCTCAGACTGCATTCTACTGATATCGAGTCAAAAGTTACCAGTTGTGGTGGATGTTGGGGTCTCAGTAGTGGAAATAGCAGCTATTGCTGAAAATACATTGCAAAATAATGAGTTAGTATAAGTTACAATAAAATACACTTTGAAAGAATTGTAATGTTTGGTACGTGTTTTTTTTTTAACACTAAACTTTACTTGCCTGTTTTTGTGTCCATTGGTGAAGCTCTTTGAGTGGACGTTGCTGTGAAAACTGCAGTGAGAACATTATTGGGTGTTTTTAACAAAGACTGGCATAGATCTTTAAATTAAGTTATAGATGTAATTATGATAAGCAAACAATTGGAAAGTGGAAGACCAATCCAAAATGAACTCAAATGTTTTTGAATGAAATTATGATGCTACAGAAGAGAGTGTTCAGCTCATAAGCAATACAGTCTCATCTTAAGTCATGTGACTTCCCATTAGCTTACTAATTAGGCTTCTAGGTAACATTTTTCTGTTAACAGGCAATGCAAGCCACAAAATGTAGATGCATTAGCCTATTGAACTATGTAACTTACGTGTGGTTTTCTTTGTTTCACTGTTTGGCAGTTTTGACTTGGAAACTAAGTACAAATATAAAAAATAAATTAAAGGAGAATCACCTTTGAATCACCTTCAATTTTAATTCAGAATGACCAGAAAAGGTGTTATCAGTAACTTACCAGTTGTGCTGTACGTTTCATAAGTGGACATTAACGGTAAAGCTGTTTAAAAAAAACATTGTTAAATTCGCAGTGATATAAAATCAAACGTTCAACCGCAATAGAAAATAATGAGCCTGAAAGAACAATTGCCACAACATTCAAAGTGGAATAAGAAAGATGTCTTTTTGATTTTACAAACTCAGTTACTCACAGGTTTTCATGGTTGTTGTAACATGTGCAGCTGGCGTCGAAACTGTAAAGACAGTTTACCAGTATTACAGGGAGCAATTGCAGTATTTAATTTTAAAGCAAATGTCAATACAGTCTGTTGTCAAAGGTACAGAGCCTTACAACTTTTTTCCACATTATTCCATATGATGTAATTTCGGCCTTACTGTATATCCAATAAGGATAATACAGAACCAAAGAACCAGCACTGTAACATTTAAGTGGAAGACCAATCCAAAATGAACTCAAATGTTTTTGAATGAAATTATGATGCTACAGAAGAGAGTGTTCAGCTCATAAGCAATACAGTCTCATCTTGAGTCATGTGACTTCCCATTAGCTCACTAATTAGGCATCTAAGTACTAGGTAACTTATGACACTCTTCTGTTAACAGGCAGAGTCAATGCGAGCCACAAAATGTAGATGCATTAGCCTATTGAACTAATGTTTGGCGAATGCAATTCATAAACAGTAAAACATTAAGAAAAGCAGTGTGATCATAGTTAAGTTGAGACCTTTTATCCTGCTCAGTGTTTGGAAACTTTACATGTGTAGAGTTGAGCCTTGGTTAAGTAAATAGATCCCACATATTTATATATTTTTTAATTCAACATAAGGCTTAGTGGTTTTACCAGTGAGGAAGAGTGGATGAACTTACGTGTGGTTTTCTTTGTTTTGCTCTTTGGCAGTTTTGACTTGGAAAATAATTCTACAAATGTAGAAATAAATTACAAATTGCAAAAAGAATCACCTTTTAATCACGTTTTCAATTTTAATTCAGAATAACCAGAAAAGGTGTTATTAGTAACTTACCAGCTGTACTGTACTTTTTAGAAGTGGACATTAAAGGTGAAGCTGTAAAAAAAAATAAAAAATTGTTAATTCGCAGTGATATAATATAAAATGTTCAGCCACTACAGAAAAAATGAGCCTGAAAGAACAATTGCCACAACATTCAAAGTGGTATAAGAAAGATGTCTTTTTGATTTTACAAACTCAGTTACTCACAGGTTTTCATGGTTGTTGTAACATGTGCAGCTGGCGTTGAAACTGTAAAGACAGTTTACAGTATTACTGGGAGCAATTGCAGTATTTAACTGTAAAGCAAATGTCAATACAGTCTGTTGTCAAAGCCTTCAAATACAACTTTTTTCCCACATTATGCCGTATGATGTAATTCTGGCCTTATCCAATAAGGATAATACAGAACCAAAGAACCAGCACAGTAACATTTAAGAATGAGACAATGAGTTACTTTATACAGTTGTATATACTGACACTAATTTTGTCTTCAATAATGCTGTACAGAGAAACATTACAAGAGTGAACAGCATATCATAGATTCATAAAGTAAATCTCAGCAAAATGATGCATGTAAAGGATTTTGTGTTTGTTTTTTGACAGAAATAACTTTTTAAACAGATATTCAATACATAAATATCTCAAGACTTACTCTGGATTGATATTGTCACTGGATCGGAGTGAGGAGATGGCATGAGAACTTGTGACTTGTTCACAGTGTAGAAGCAGGTTATTCTCACAGATGAACTCTGACCTTCTGACCAAATACTGATCTGAGATCCAGTGAGTGAGAGCTGACATGATGAACTCGCTTTTGAGAAACTTTCTCTTCCATTGATGTTAAAGACACACATCTTCATCTTCAGATATTCAGTATTCTCACAGCTCAGCTGAACTGTGTCTGTTTCCTCAATAACTGAAGCAGACGCTGTTAACTTGGCCTGAGGAAGACCTAATGAAAAAGAAAATTGATTAGAAGAAGGTGACCCTTCTGAAAGAAGCAAAAACTGAAAGAAAAAAAAAACAGTGTCCTTAACTTTCATCATGTTAGTCTTTTGTCATTTAAACTATTAAAACTGTTCAAATGCAGTTCTCTAATGACATCATCCTTCAGGAAGTTGCATCATTTTGGAGGGAAAACTACAGCACAAACATCAGCATTAGCAATTGACTTATTTTCTATGATGGTTTGTGGACAAAATACAAAAATGGGACATATTTTATTTTGATGGTTCCTTTTGCATGATAATATCAACATTCAAAAGTTGTTTTAAACTGTCAATCACTCACTGTGCAATGGTTTATTTGCACGTGTCATCATAATTAATCCAGTCATGTCAAAATGTCATATGATGATCTTAATCATAGCACATTTCTGAAAGATACTTAAATTGAAATATTCAACACAAGTGTATTAATTTGTGTATTAATAAAAAGAGTTCAAGAAGTGCTGCAGAACAGGAATGGCCCTATAAGAACATGTAAAGAAACTTTTAAATAAATTGCTTGCTGTTTCTCCTCTCCCCATCATCATATTAGATGTGCAGAAACAAGCTTCTTTCAGACATTGTCTAGCTCTCTGACATGATCAGCTGAAGCGACTCTTCCTTCCTGCCTAAATATATCAGATAGTTCACTTGCTGAGGTCACACTGGTTAAGCGTTAGTCTGAGAAGAAGCTACAAGTCATTCAGTGTAAGAAGATTTCACAGATTCACTGTCTCACAGTATACTATCCCACAACTGCTAGAATCAGCTTCAGTGTGTTGCTTCTGGCTTCATGATCAATACATTCAGTGTATTGACCTTTTAATGTTGTATTATACAGCCTGTTGAAAGGGTCATTTTAAATAGTATCCGTCAAGAAGTGCCCTTAGATGTAATACACAGTATCATTCAATTTTTCTCGTTTTTATTTGTTGTAAATACTGACTTTTTCTTTTATTGTTCAAACTTTCATGTTCTAATGACCTTTATAAATCCTATTGGCTTACGAATTCTACAGTTGTGTCTCTGATGAAAAGTGCTCATATATTAATACATTATTACAGTAAAAAGTCCTCACCTCTGATGGTGCGTGTGTCACTGCGCGGTGATCTGATCTCAGGTTCAGTGTTGATGATGTAATAATCACAGCTCAGATTTCTGCTGTTCTCTGATTGTGTGAAGAGTTCACTGTGAGTTAAATAAAACATACACAGATGATGTTCTCCAGACTGCATCTTCTGAGAGACTCGTGTGTGCAGAAGAACATCCTCAGTGTAGAGACTACAGGTGAAATCAGCTCTGACTGACAGTGGTATATCACAGGCTATGTTGATCTGGACATCATTGTCACTAACACTGATGAAGGGTTTCTGAAGTGAACCTGTTTAAGTCAAATATGATTAATGGGGGAAAAAAAACATTACACAAAAAAACAGCAGTGAAATCTCTCACCTAGAACCGTCACGGTGGCCGCAGGAGAATGAGGTGATGGTTTATCAAACCTGTTCTCAGTTATAAAGTAGAAGCAGTAAATGTCAACTGATGCTGGTGATTTTACATCTGCCCATCTAAGCACTTCAGCACCAGTGAGCTCCAGTTCACATGATGGACTGACTTTATTATTCTTCTGTTCACTGTTTCTGTAGAAATGACACTGTTTCACTGTAACATCTGCTGGCGTCTCACAGATCAACTTCACTGATCTGGACTCGCTTAGCACATCTGGAGATACTTTTACAGCAGGAGATTCTGAAAAAACAAATTAAAGATTAATCCATACATGCATACTTTTCTAGTTTTGGTCCATGTTTTGGTGAAACTTTGAAACATATTTAAATTCATAAATGTCCTTTCAGCAGCACCCAACTACACAATGAATGGAAAATGTAGGGCAGCCCCATAGACATATACACTTGATGTCACCTTGGGGTTCTAAGCATGCGTCAAAACCGCTGCCATCTTGGAACAGGGGTCTTGTCATAGGAAGTAGGTAGGTAATGCTGCTTATCTCTGCCTTTACTTCGAATTCATTGATGGTGGCAGACTTTTGTGCAGCGTATGATGTTCACGGATGAAATCTGAACTAGGAAGAATGTGTTTTTTTTTTAATTAAAAAAAATTGTTTTTTTCTGGAATCAATGGTAAATACATTTCTGACCTTTGGAACAAACCAAAAAAAATGTGAAAAATCGCATTCATGATGATTTATGGTGATTTTATTTCCGTTAGACATATGTCTACAGGTACATTGACGCTGATGCATTAAAGTGGAGGGGCTCCCCTTTTCCAAGATGGCGGCTCTATTGACGCATTCATTTCAATGAACTGCCGTAGCCAAGGTGACGTCTAGTGTATATGTCTATGGGGCAGCCCATTAAGGTAGGCTATTTGTTTACTAATTTAAAGTCACACAGTCAATAATTGTATTCCTTAAAACTCATCTTAGATATTCAAAATGAGAATTTCTTCAAATCCATAAAATGTAACATTACATCCTTGCTTAATTTTTAATTTATTAATTAAGCCTCCACTCAATCACACTGGGGCTGCGTCCGAAATCGCGTACTTCCATACTATATAGTATGCGAAAAACAGTACGCGAGCAGAGTAGTATGTCCGAATTCATAGAATTCGAAAAACAGTAGGCGAGAAGTACCCGGATGGCCTACTACTTCCGGCGAGATTCTGAAGTGCGCATACGATGGACACTTTACTATCCCATGATGCCACGGGAGAGGAGGAGTTGTCGTTATATTTGAAAATGCCGGAAACCGGAGACGCGGGAGTTTTCCACTGTATATGGAGATTTCAAGTGTAAGTACTATATTAAACACTTTTTGTTTATTTGTGGTGAAATTGTGTTTGTTTAACATCATATAAGTAAACGATTGACTTGTTAAACGTTTAAATAATGTAAATCGCGGGTGCAATTTTCCGATTTGGCTGCAAAATGACACTTTTGTCTTTGCCATTATTACCGAACTGAACGAGCTAATGCATGTCAGCTAACGTTAGATAACTTTGTTTTCTTTGTTTCGCAGTTGAATGAGATGCTTACACAACTTTTATTTATTTTAATTTTAAAACGATTAGGAAAATCAGGTGGAAATTAGCACTTAAGTGCTACAACCTGCAAATGCATCTCTCCTTTTTAAGGTTAATGTATATTTTGCATTGCCCTTGTTCAAAAATTAATGAATTAAATTAAATTTTATTTTATTTCTCCTTTACCGGTGTTGTTATTATGAAATATTTGTTGCCTGCATAGCAAACTACTGTTAACAAGTGTACCTCAACTTGTCAATGTAACATAGACTGATCATAGTTCATCACATGTTAAATCCTGTGTTGATTTTGGAGGGGCAAAATGATAAGATTAAGAATATTTAGGATTCATATTCATAACCATGACATAATGACACCTTTATAATCATGACATGACGCATGTCATTAATATTAAGGTGGTTTTATGCATGTATAACAGCTGTCACTAAATGTTATTTGCTCAATTATGGTATTTTTAATGCGAATATGACAGTTTGAGATGTCTTTGTCATGACAACTTGACATAAACCAATAGGCCTACATCATAACCTGTCAGTGTCAAGTGTGTCTCACTCAAACAATGTCATATTTGCAATTTTACATAAAAAAATTAACAATTGAGCGAATGACATTAATGACAGTTGTCATAAACCCTCATTCACATTAATGATATGTGTCATGTCAGTCTTATGCACACCCCTTCAAGTAAAGTGTTACCATTCTTTTTTTATTATTATTTTAATAGTTCACCCCAAAATGAGAATTCTGTCATGCAATGATTTAACAAATTATGTTTTACAAGCAAATTACAGTTATATCTGAAAAATATATTGTCTGTGACTATGAATGCTGCACTGTAGAGAAATAGCCACACACTTCAGACACCATTAACATTTATTTGCTTTATTTTTGTGTATTATCTTTTAAATGGATGCAGAATACAAAGCTTAAAACAAAATCACATAACTTTGGCATAAAGTAGTATAATAGAGCTTAAAGCACTACCAAAAGGAAAAGTATTAAAACATTTTTATTATGGTGTCACCATGAGGAAAGACAATGAACTTTAGCAGCTTTAGTAAGGTAACTTTCACAGGTTTCTAAAAAGATCTAAAGGGACTTTGATAATAGCAATCTCATTTGGAGGGCATCACTAAAATTATTCAATATGTTTTGTTTTTTTCAAGGCATGTTTACAAGACGAGGCAAGGATACCCACCATCTCCAAGGATGCACTATCCTGCAGATGGAAACAGGCGGCCAGTGCACACAGGGCTGTTCTTCAGCACCCGGGCATCGTGCACCGACCCAAGATACCCAACAAAAATGTCGAGGAACTTCCCCTTGTGGTCAGTGATGGCCTGCAGCTGAAAATAATTAAACAGCTTTCTGGTTGAAGTAGCACTGGACGTCACTTGCTAGTGGTTTGATGCGGATGTGACAGCCATCTATTGCACCAGCTACTACACTGACAGCTGGAGACCCTGCCAGCTGGGTAAAACCTGCTCCCACTGCCTCCTGGTCATCTGCACTGGGGAAAGCGATAACCTGTCTCAAAGTGCCGATGACTGCCTTGCTCATTCTGTGCATAATGTCGTGCACAGCAGACTACGGGATGTCATAGACGAGTGATGCTACCCGGTATGATGCTGCATGGGC